AAAAAAAAAAAAAGAATATCCCCCCACAACAAAGAATTATTCAGCTCAAGTGTCAACAATGCTGAGGTTGACAAACCCTGCCCTAACGTATCAAGTTTATTTTTCTCTTCTGGGTCAGTCCTTGCTCATGTGTGTGCATTTTTACATAGCTGTAATGATAGTGTACACTTTGACTTTCCTTTTCTCTTAATTTTATATTTTAAGCATTTAAACATTGCTTTCAATTGGGGGGGGGAGGGGGCATGCACGTGCCAGCGCAAGCAGGGGAAGGGCAGAGGGACAGGGAGAGAGAGAATCTCAAGCAAGCTGCACACCCAGTGTGGAGCCCAACGAGGGGTTCAGTCCCACCACCATGAGATCATGACCTGAGGCAAAACCAAGAGTTGGATGCTTAACCACCTGAGCCACCCAGACACCCCTATAATTCTCTTAATGTGTATTTATTTTGAGAGACAGAGAATGAGTGGGGGAGAGGCAGAGAGAGAGAGAGAGGGAGAGAGAGCATCTGAAGCAGACTCTGCACTCTCAGCACGGAGCCCAATGCAGGGCTCAATCCCACAAACCATGACATCATGATCTGAGCTGAAATCAAGAGTCAGACGCTCAACCAACTGAGCCATCCAGGCAGCCCAAGATGTCTATAATTTTTAAATTGTATTTGTGGGGGCGCCTGGGTGGCGCAGTTGGTTAAGCGTCCGACTTCAGCCAGGTCACGATCTCACGGTCCGTGAGTTCGAGCCCCGCGTCGGGCTCTGGGCTGATGATGGCTCGGAGCCTGGAGCCTGTTTCCAATTCTGTGTCTCCCTCTCTCTCTGCCCCTCCCCCATTCATGCTCTGTCTCTCTCTGTCCCAAAAATAAATAAATGTTGAAAAAAAATTTTTAAATTGTATTTGTGTAGAAGGAAGAAAGAAGGATTAGGGTGAGTAGCCTATCTGGATATTCCAGTTTTTGTGGCCATGCTATTTACGTTTGTTTCCTAATGTCATTCTAAGACCATGAGATCCCAACCTCATCTTTCGCTCGGAGCCAAAAGATGTGCTGTAGCACAAGGTGTGGTCCTGGCCCCTTCACCGTAGTTTGAGGGCACCTGTAGGGGAAATAAGAACGAGAAGCGATGAATCTACACCCATTCTTCTTGCCCTCGTTCCATTTAAAATCCTTTTTCTCTGTCTCAGCTTGCTTTGACAGCTTTACCAACTCATTCTTTACATCTGGAAGTTTTGAGGGGCCCCTAAAAGTTTTTAAGATACTTAATGAGCATTTATTCAGCATCTACTTTGTAGAGAATAGTTGTGTATGCTTTGATATGTGGGTAATTTGAGGCACAGTTTAGATGTCAGAGCATTTATAATTCAAATAATGGATTTATATTGCTTTAAGGTCTGCTTTTTTAGAGTTTTCAATCTCCATTGAGTCCCAGTAAGTCCCCTGGGAAAATGTGCATTCTGGGATGTCATAGCAGAACAGGCAGAGGGGCCCAAATGTTCAAAGTCATGGAAATAATCAGCAGCATGAGGGGGATCAGTGAGTGTACCGGCATGGAAGGCTAATACCAAGGTCTGGCGGAAGACAAGGCTATAGAGACAGGCAGGAACCAGGTTGTGAAGAATCTCTGGTGCCAAGCTAAGGGGTTGAACTCTTCCTGAAAGCACTGCAAATGATAAGCAGCAAGTGATTTGCATTCAGAACGGTCAGTCTGAGGGCTGTGGATGGGGGCCAGCCTGGCAGCAGGGACATCAGTTACGGATACAATAAACTGGACAATAAATGAGGAGAGCCTACACTAAGGCAGCACCATTAGATAAGAGGGAGAATCTACACATTCAGGGACTGGTTGTTAATGAGAGTGGGATAAATAAGAAGGCAGGGCCATGGATGCCTCCCAGGTTCCTGGCTTAGGAAACTATATTGATGGTGATTTTATTAACTATTGAATACAGAAGGCAGAGCAGGTGGAAAGGAAAGATGAGTGGATTGTTCAAACTGAGTTGTTCATCAGACAATTAGATACGCATTGGTCTTAAATAGTAGACTCATTTTAGATTGCCTTCCTAGCCTACATCCTCTTCTTTGGAATTTGTACCTTTCCAGCAATCCTTGCTTAAAGAGTAGACTTTGGTTGGGGCACCTGGGTGGCTCAGTCGGTTAAGGGTCCGTGACTCTGGTCATGCACGAGGCACTCTGTGAGTTCAAGCCCTGTGTTGGCCCTGTGCTGACAGCTCAGAGCCTGGAGCCTGCTTCAGATTCTGTGTCTCCCTCTCTGCCTGTCCCTCCCCTGCTCGTTCTCTCTCTCTCTCTCTCTCTCTTTCTCTCTCACCCTCTCTCTCTCTCTCTCAAAAAACAAATAAACATTTAAAAAAGTTTTTAAAAGAGGAGACCTTGGTGGCTGTATTTATACCCCTACTTCCAACCCATTCTAGTCACAATGGACTGAATGAGGATTATACAACTAACTTTGGAGAGGGGGGCACAGTTCATTGGGTGAGCAAAAAATAATCATCCCTCTTTCATGAATTTGAACTAAAAGATAAAGAACAGAAATGACTTATCTGAAAAGTTAGATAGGCTTAACATGTGAATGGCTGTTTTTAGCCTGGCCGATGAGCAGGCAGAGAAAGTTCCATCCATGTAGAAAAGCTAGCAAATGGGGGCAGATTCATGTGGAAATGACAGAGCCGAAAGACCTCATGGGTCAGGCTAGACTAGTTCCAGTCTAGTCCAGGATGCGCTGCACAGTTCCATATCCAGCTCCTATGTAGTTATATTTATTTTCCAGTGTATGCCCTTGTGTTTTATTCTTTAAGTAACCCTCCTGTAGTAGTTTGGATTGGTTGGCCATGAGGGTCAGAAAGCTCAAAATAAAAATGGCTGGAGAAAGATAGAAATTTATTTCTGCCAAATAAGAGTCAAGAAGAAATCAGTCCAGACATCTTGAAATTGTCAGAGATTCACAGATTTATTTTCTCATGATAGTATATTATCTGTGGCATGTGGCTTCTACCCCATGGTGTCCAGGATGGCTGCTCGAACTTCAGCTATCTTGTGTGCATTCCAGCCAGTGGAATGGAAGAACGAGTGAGGAAGGGGGAATCCTGTTCCTTTCAGGGCACTTCCTAGAGGTGGCACACAATTCCACTTGCATCCCATTGATCAGAACTTAGTCACATGGCTGTATCTAGCAGTAAGGCGGGCAGACGTGTGATCATTCAGGAAACCAGATTATCTTACGCTGCAGGAAAGGGAAGAATAAATATTGGAGGACAAAGCGCAGTCTTTGCCACATGCACTTGTGTTTGTTCTAACTTCGGTGTGTTTCTGTTTCTTCCCATTTTTTCTAGATAGATCTGGAGCTTCACAGAGATGGATTATTATTTAATGCTAACAATCCCATGAGGTAGGCATTATTATTAATCCACTTTGGGGGGAAACCAAAGTTTAAAGAAGTTAGGTGACTTGCCTAGTCATGAAACCAGAAAGGGGTGGAGGCAGGGTTTCAAGATGTGTCAGACTCCTATACCCAAGCTGTTAATGACCATAGTAGTGAGAAAGGCAGAGAGCCAAAGGCAGAGTTCTTAGGAATGGCAGCATCTCAAGGGGCTGTGGATGAAGAGGAGCCCAGGAAGAAAACAGAGAAGGAAAGGTCAGAGAGGTAAGAGTAAAAACAGGAGAAAGTGATGTCACAGAACAGAGAAGGGAAACACTTTCAAGATAGGAGTGGACATAATGCAGAGAGATCATATATAAAAGTTACAGAAACATGTCCAATTTGGCATTTTGAAGGTTATTGGTAACTGATTTTTAAAAAAATTTTTAACAGTTATTCATTTTTGAGAGAGACAGAGCATGAGTGGTGAGTAGCAGAGAGAGAGGGGGATACAGAATCCGAAGCAGGCTCCAGGCTCTGAGCTGCCAGCACAGAGCCTGGCGTGAGATCCAAACTCGTGAACTGTGAGATCATGACCTGAGCTGAAGTCGGAAGCTCAATCAACTGAGCCACCCAGGTGCCCATTGGTAACTGATATTTTGAGTATAGTAGTAAGAACAGAAGCCAAAATGCAGTTATTTGAGGAGGGGAAGACAAATTAGAAGGAGGACAGTAGCTTCTGAGGAATGTGGTGGGGTCAAAGGAGGGTTATTTTTGTATCTTTATTTTTAAGACAAACATCTTGAGCAAAGGGCGAGAGATCAGTAGAGAAGGAGATAATGAGTATACAGAAAAGAAAAGCTTTCTTGAAGAAGCCATAGGGACAGGATCTAGAACACAGGTGAAGAAATTTGCTTTGGTCAGGAGGATGGAAATCTCCTCCACTGAGGGGGAAAGAGAACAAGGTCTCTAATGATGAAGGCTAGTACCTTGCTGTAAGGGAAGAAGCTGACAAAGTTATATGATGACCCTAGTTTTGCTAGTGCTGTGGGAGACAAGATCATCTGCCAAAATAGAGGAGAGGTAAGACTTGGAGTTTGATCGGAGAGATGAAAGTTCTGAATAGCTACTGAGTGAAATGGTAACAGAATCTGGTAAAGAATGCATAGAATGATCTAGTAGCCGAGAAGCTTGTCTCAGGCTGCAGCCATGAATTTGTAGTGGCTTCAGTCGGCTTGCTTGTTTTATTTTTCCATACCAGCACTCAGCAAACTAAAATAGATGTAGAAAAGGCAAATGGTTGAACTTTTCTAGGGCTAGGATTTTCAGGAAAGGTGGGGCAAGGAGCAAGATAAGGGGGGACATTGATGAGAGGTTGAAATGATCAACCGTTGGGTCCAGGCTTGGCAGGAAAAGCCAAAAATATCTGGTAGTTTGAGAGAGGTAATGGTCCAGGGACTAAAGTCTCACTGTCGTTGTAAAACAATTATAGTTTAAGAGAGCAGTCACCTCACACCCGTTAGTATGGCTATGATATATATCACTGTATATATAAAACAAATATAACAAACGTTGTCAAAGATGTGGAGAAATGGGAACCCTTCTACATTGCATGGTGGGAACATAAAATGGTGCAGCTGCTTTGGAAAACAGTACAGCAGCTCCTCAAAAAGTTAAACAGAATTATATGATAACAATTCTACGTCTAGGTATATACCCAAAACAATTGAAAGCAGGGACTTAAATGGATATTTGTATACCCATGATCCCAGAACTGTTAATTCACACCAGTTGAAAGGTGGAAACAGCCCAAATGTTCATTACAGATGAGTGAATAAACAAAATGTAAACACATGAGTGCACACACAGACAGGAACTAGAATATTATTTAGCCTTAAAAAGGGAGAAGGAGAATGTGAATGGGAACCAGATGATGGGAGTGTGGGGGGGAGGAGCATGACAAGATTTTTAGCTGTCAGCCATGAGGAGGACACATAGGGTACAAAGATCCAGACCTGGGTCCTTTTTTCTTCCTGTGTGAGATTCAGATGATAATTAGAATTCTATATTGTCCATTAAAACTATTAATGTGAAAATGATAAGACTCTGAAGAGCATAGCAAGAAAGGAGAAAAATAATAAAAAATATGATTTTGCTGTTAAAAAAACAAAACAGTATTATTTCTGTGGACTGTCTGCAGTACAGTAATAATTATGCATATCACTACAATTTGGGTCAGATTAACTTGGTTAAAAGTTGTGTTTCGTTTTAACAGCAAGTCTGATTCACAGCTGGAGGTTCTAGTAACACAAATACAAACAACTCCAGCAAGCGGGAATCTATGTTTCACCTACTATTATAGTGTAAACTGTTTTGTAGCATGACTACTTTGAGCTGAAAAAGCTAAAGATTATATTGATGGCAGGCTTATATCAGGAAGTTTTGGAAGAGAGCTGAATGATTTAGAAGTCACCAGAAATTATAAGCCATATACTGTGAGCACAATAATTCCTTGATGGTACAGGAGCAGTATGCGGTCTAGCTTCCAGAGGAGTCCCTGTATCTCTCAAATTCAACTGAGGGCGCTTCTTTGGAATTTGTAATTTTGCAAGGGGACTTTGGGCGATTTTCAGATTACTAAATTATAAACTTCAGAACTGGGTATACAGAAAAGCGTGTATTTTTTTTAAACACACATTTGTATTGTGTGTGTGTGTGTGTGTGTGTGTGTGTATATATAATGTCATCATTTCTTTTTTTCATCATTTCTTATTTTAGAGATACTGTAAAGCTGTTTGAAACTTTAATTTTCTTTGTGTTGTTGGCTACTTCATGTAAGTGTTCATCATAACTGGATAACATACCCATTAATTAACAGAACTAAATTACACTTTGTACAGAGACTAACTCTGGGTGTATATACATATCAGATTTCTTGCATGCTCAGTTGTGTGTGTGTGCGTGTGTGTGTGTACATACACATATGCTCATCTCTTCCACCAAGGCACAAGTGCAGTTAGAATACGTACTTCACCATCTTGACAAAGAAGGGATTGGACCCCTTGTTGCTACAGAAGAACCACTCTATTTTGTTTATTCCAGAATGAAGACAGGCTGAGCACTGCTACCAGAAATTTAGAAGAGCTTACAGTGAAGCACACGGAAGCAATGAAAGAAGTAAGAGCTAATAACATAAAGGTTTAAGATACCTGTGGTTTTGTTCATTGTCCTTCATTAAACTGACACATTAAAAACCAACATTTGAATATTACTGTGTAGTTTGCAAAGCACTCACAAGTATAATTTTTTTCATGAACTATGCCAACAGTCTGCATTGGTTTCCAGTAGAGTACACGTACAGGATGTTACCCAGAAATGAATGGCTGAAGATCCCAACAGGTCTGCTCAAGGTGGCTTTCATTATCTTTGTTTCAATAACCCACCCTCCAGCCGACTCTCTTGCTTGTAGGCTTAGAAACCTGAGTAGTCAGTGTTCTGTAAGAGGATCTGTTTCTCAAAGATGATCTTGAATTAACCACACTCACAAAGAAGTTTATAGAAAAATAGATACCAGCTTACTAACTGACGGTAAGAAACATAATTGTCACAGGAACGAGACATACATGTCCTGTGGCTGATGGATTCTTTCCCTACAGGTACACTTACATGGGAAGCCAAACAGATGTTTGGTTACAGATGTTTACTCACTGAACAATCATTCTAAATTTTTATAACACTGGCTAAGATAGCCTGAATTCCACAAGAGGGCTAATCTATACCTGCCCTTACTTCTGGACCTGTTATAGACTAGAACCAGGGTCCCCAGCCCTTAGATGAGTAGATAATGACATCTTTTGTCTTTCTTATCACTCTTTTTGATGTTTCCAATACTGATCAACATACTTTCTGACGTATTCTTTCTTTAAACAAGTTAAGAAATTCAGATTGCTTGGAAATCACTCTGCTGTGTTTCATCATCTCAGCTCAGGTATGCAACTTACTGATTTTTAAATTTAACTCTTAGAGGACAATTTTATTTCCAAACTCAAAGAAGAATGCAGCTCCTTTAGAACAAAAGCAGGATAGCATAATAGACGATGCTATTATTATCTATAGCATAATAGACCAATAATAGACCATGAACTTTAACATTAGGCACAAGGGGGTGAAGCATTGCCTTTAGTACTGTCTTTGTGTGTAACCTTGGGTAAGTTACTTCACTTCTTTGAACTTGAAATTCCTCACCTGTAAGATGGGGATGATAATAGCTTCTTCAAAGAGATTTGGGAAGTTTACAAGTACATGTGAGGTTAAAGCACACAAAACATTTCACACACACATACTTGACACCTAGCAAGTATTCAATAAATTATAGGTGTTATTGTTAGAAATAGGTAGGGTTGTTCCTGCCATTTTGAAGAGAAAGACATTGAAGATTAGCAGAAAGTTATTAAGTTGGGTGGCAGTGCTCTGTTACCTCTACTATACCACTCAGCTTTTTGTGTTTGTATTGTGAGGAGTTGTCCTCACAATTCAGTAAAACTAAATTCAGTTACTTTGGTAGTCTATCTCTAAGCAATTTGGCACAGTAGGTAAGAGCTTAGCCTCTGGGTTGGCCTGCTGAGTGTGAGGTCTAGCTCCTCCTCTTACTCAATCCTGCATGACACAGCAAACCCCTTGGACTCCAGCCACCTGCTTCCTCCCCTACAAAGGGGGAGGATAACAGTTTCATAGGATTGTGGTGAAAAGTAAATATTTGATGTCCTTAGTACAGTACCCAGAGCATCGAGTTAGCTTTTAATCTATTATTATGAGCCACATAAAAGTACCTGTTGTGAAGCTGCCATATGAACCAGAAGCTATTTTTTTAATACTCAATAATTTATTTTAATGCAGTCTTCTATTAAGGTTTCAGACTTCTTAATCATCATTGTTAGCATAGGAGTATAAACAATTATTGTGGAGATTTTTCTGTTTATGAGTATCATGACTATATTCCCTAAACTATAGATAAGGCAACTTGATTTAAAACCTGATATGTTGGGCGCCTGGGTGGCGCAGTCGGTTGAGCGTCCGACTTCAGCCAGGTCACGATCTCGCGGTCCCTGAGTTCGAGCCCCGCGTCGGGCTCTGGGCTGATGGCTCAGAGCCTGGAGCCTGTTTCCGATTCTGTGTCTCCCTCTCTCTCTCTGCCCCTCTCCCGTTCATGCTCTGTCTCTCTCTGTCCCAAAAATAAATGAACGTTGAAAAAAAAAAATTAAAAAATAAATAAATAAATAAATAAAAAATAAAACCTGATATGTTAATGGAAAAAAAAAAAAGTAGAGACTGTGACTGTCCCAGAAATTTGTGGTGATATATCGTCATATCTATGGGAAACAATGACTGATAACATAAAACAGCTGGAAGGAAGTTTAGGGAGGGAGACCCACACTTAAGGAAAGCTGAATTTTCTGCCTATTTCTTAGATTATAGACACAAGAGTATAGTGATCTCTTCATGACTCTTTCACTTCATAGACTTGATATGGGGTACTATATGATCCATGGACTAACAGTAAAAAAAATGTATTATTTTCTTTTTAGATGGAAAAGTATGCAAACCGTGTCCATACCTTAACAGAGGAAAGAGAAACATTGTCTCACGGTTGTGAAAAGGAAAACAAACAGTTTAGACATGAGGTTAAAGTGCTCCAACCGAAACAGGGTAATTTTTCCTTTTATAAAAATATAAAGTTAATTTTTTTTCTAATTCTAAAAGTAATATGCGACAATTATAGGAAATTGGAAAATGTATAAAAGAAGGAAGGGGAAAATCACTATATGTCTTCCACTCCAAGAAAAGTACTTATAATGTTTTGGGTGTATTTTCTGCCTGGTCTTTTTAAATTATCTGTTGTGAAATAGTCTGAAATGTGTGTGAGAGAGCACAGGATGGTCATTTCCTTCAGCCTCTATTAGAGCACTTACCACACTGTCCTAGTGACCTGTGTCAGCTCCTCTGGGGCAGAGATCTTGCCCTGGTCTTAGTGATTTCTGTGTTCCCCATCACACCTGCCCTGTAAAGTACCTAGCATATTATGGTCTCAGAAAATATTTAAGTACTACAAAGCTACAAAAGAAGATACAGATAGGACCCCTTTAGAATATTCTGTTTTGTTTAACCTCACAAATTAGATATTATTATTATATATGGTCAGTGATTATATCTACCACACATTAATTATTTTCTGTACTCAGCATTTTTCCTTGCATCTCAGATATTCTATTTGAAATCTTTTTTTTTTTTTTCATTTTAGAACTTCCTTTCATGAGGGTCTGCTGATGGAAGTTTTTTCTTTATTTTGAATCTCAGACGGAAAAGTTGAGTTAATCACAGGATATATCTCCTATGTACTACACTCTTGTTTCCTTTATTTTCATTTCTTGTTTTGCATTGAATATACTGAGTTTCCTTCTGCTGGCTTAATAGTTTGTGTTCTATTTTTGTTTGTATAGTGGTTGCATTTTAAGAGTTTTAAGTTTTCTTCTGGCATTTTTAGCTATTCTCAGCAGAAGTGTTGTTCAGGGCTCTAAGCTGCCATTCCATGAGAAACAGAAGATGTATATGTCCTGCTGCCAGCATAAATTAGCTTTTGAAGGATTGGTAAATAGGGGAATTATGTCATTTCAAGGCAGAAGTTCATATACAGTTTCCCCCAGCATGTTAATGATTTTGGCTTACCAGCAAGCAAGCCTTGGAGTTTACACATGAAACTCATTTGTCCCACATTATTCTTCTGGCCTCAGTTTGGCCACATGCTTCTCCTTGGAAGTGCTTATTGTAAAGATATCCCTAATCTTTGTGCATTTTGCCTTTGTTTCCATAACTCCACAGACTCAGCTCTTTTAGCTCACCTTTACAGCAAGCCTGGTTTTTTAAAAGAAGATAAAGCCCTATGTTTACTATAGTATTTCTATATTTGATGGAATTTGATGTAACTCTTTTAATGTACCAGTATAATTATAAGGATTGTCAGTGTTTTTTATAGCACTCTAGTTACACAATGACAGAGATTTAGAATGGTCTATACCAATCTGTTTTTTTCAAGAAGCGCTATTATTTTTAGTGAGCACTTTACAAAATACAAGTTTGTTTGTTTGGGGAACATAAAACTTAATTACTCCAGAAAAGCTTATATAATTGAAGGTTGAAGATAGAGCTAATATGACTAGATAATGGACGTAATGTTGGGTGGGAGAAAATGGGGGAAATCACTGGTGTCCCAAAGCTTTCTGGCCTGGGCATTTGGAATATTAGAGTTCCAGCTACTCAGGTGGGGGAGACTATGGGAAATCCCATTTGAGGAAGACCGTAAAGAGCTTGCTTTTAGACATGTACATTTTGATGCATGTAGTAGACATCCAAGTGGGAATGTCAAGTAGACAACTGTGTGAGTTTGGAAGGCACCACAAGCTGCAGCTGTGAATTTGGGAGTCATCAGTATATAGCCAAACCTAAAGCCTTGGGACTATAGGGATTATCTGGGGAGTAAAAGAGGATTCGGGGATGGGCCCTGGGACATTCCTATGTTTAGAGGCTGAAAAGGTGAGAAATTAGCCAAGGAGTCTGTGAAGAAGTGGCCCGCAAGGTGGGAGGAAAACCAGCAGAGTGTGGGGTCCCAGAGAGAAAGGACGACAGTGTTTCAAGGAAAGGATGTGAACAAGTAGGTCAGATATCACTGACAGGGTATGTAGAACAAGGACAGATCATTCGCTATAGGATTTGGTCACATGAAGGTCATCAGTAACTTTGACAAGAGCTGCTTCTGTGGAGTGGTGGGTATGAAAGCCTGCTTGCAGTGACCTCAGGAAAGAGTGGTAGGAGAGGAAGAGGGGACATGGCAATGGTTGATCCCTTCTGGAAGCTGTGCTGTAAAGGAGAGTGAGGAAGTTGTGTAGAAGCTGGAGAGGGATATGAGGTTGAAGGAAGATTTCTTATTGTTTTCATTGTTGTTTTTAGTGCGAGATACGATAGCACGTCTTGAAGATAATTACAACGCTAAGTTGGGAAGAAAGCTTGATGGGGCAATCAAGAGAGGAGTCAGCTGCAAGCATGTGGTCTTTGAGATAAGTGGGAATGGGATCCCGTGCACGAGGGGAGAGTTAGGAGCAAGGATAGTTTGTTAAATTGCACAAGAGATTTATAAGATTTAAAAGATTTTGGAATCTTTGAAAGATCGTGGAAGCTGTCTTTGGAGTGTGCTTTTTTTCTCCGTGAAATAAGAAGCAGGGTATTCAGCGGAGAGTGAGGGCAGGGAAGGGGCTGTTGGAGACTTGAGGAGAGAGAGGAATGAAATAGTGGTCTAGAGCTCTAGAAAATATAAGAAAATGAGAGAGAATTCTGGGGAATTGTGGGAGGATTGCTGGGCAATAAGGACTCACTTGAGGCGAGTAGACATGAAGTGAGAGTGAAACCAGACGAGATCGGGCGCGTTCAGGGTGGTATGGCCGTAGACAGAGTGAGAGTGAAACCAGTCAGCACTGGCTGTGCAGTTTTCTCCAGCAACATTCAGCTTCTGGACTGAGGTGCAGTAGGGCTGAAGGGTTGGACTTAAACAGGCTAGAATTCTGTCAACCAAGTATAATGGAAGGAAAGAGGGGCATGGGAGTTGTGAATGTTTCAAGAGAGTGATGATAACAATGGACTGATTGGATGAATCTAAGCTAGTTAAGAAAGTGAGAACAAGAGTGGGGTAAGGAACATTGAGCAGTGTTTCAAGTCAGTGGATTATAGTTACCAGTATGGCCAAAAACTTGCTGACATCCAGCCACTAGAAGTACATAGGAAGGGGTGATTGGAGAACGGGATGCTTGAAATTGCGACTGGGGAGTTGCTGCTAATGACTCCCATAGAATTACTATGGGAGTAGAGAATGAGATGGCGTAGAGGACTCTTTGGAAGTCAGTTGCTAAACAGACTGAGAAGCCAGGGCACTACAATAATCTATCTGAATGTTGAAATCACCAAGAATTTTGGTAGGACTTGTTGCGTAATGTCATGCAAGTTAATTGGCTTGTCGGTGCCTGCATCCTTGTCCCATAAATGAGATAATCATGTTTCCTACCTCAGTGGCTTTTGCAAGGATTAGATGAGATAAATTTATCTTAAATGCTTAGTACAATACCTGCCACATAGTAAGCACTCAATAAAACAACAACGAATTTTAAAGTTATCCAATAGTAAGAATATCTACCATTTTTGAGAACTTTTTCCCATTTTTTTTTTGTTATTATTTCTGAAAGTTTGCAAACACCCTGGACAGATAGAAAGAAGAGTGGTAGTAACAGTATAACTGATTTTTAAAATTAATTTGCTGTGTAATTAAGAACACATTTAACATCATATAACAGCAATTATTTGCCTGCATTTCTTTTAATAGGTTTGTATTTGTTATTTCTTCCGAACAGAAGTGCAAATAAAAGAGGTTGAAGAAATGTTGTATCAAGAGGGCTTATCTGAAATAGCTCTGAGCAGCCCCAGTGAACAGATTGCATACTTACTGGTAGAAAGAAGTACACTCTTGCAGAAACTGGAAGCCCGGGGCCCAAAGCCAGAGTCACAAAGGTGTATGACCAGTAAATTCCTGAAAGAACATCCCCAGGTATTCTGAAATTAACTAGGTAATTGAATAAGAGGCAGGCCAGTCTTTTAGTATTTGTTTTTTCAATCATTCATTCATTAAATTATAAGGAAGCCAGTTTTAATAATGCTTAAGAATATAAGTTTTAGGGCACCTGGGTGGTTCAGTCAGTAAAGGGTCTGACTCTTGATTTTTTTTAATTTTTTTTTTTTATGTTTTTTATATTATTTTGAGAGAGAGACAGAGTGTGAGTGGGGAAGGGGCAGAGAGAGAGGGAGACACAGAATCCAAACTAGGCTTCAGGCTCCGAGCTGTCGGCACAGAGTGCGATGTGGGGTTTGAACTCACGGACTGTGAGATCATGACCTGAGCCAAAGCCGGACACCCAACCAGTTGAGCCACCCAGGTGCCCCTGACTCTTGATTTTGGCTCAGGTCATGATCTCACGCTTCTGCCTGAGTCTGAGCCCCACTGTGGGATTCTCTCTCTCCCCGCCTCTCTCTCTGCCCCTCCCCTACTCACATGCTTGCTCGCTCTCTCTCTCTCTCTCTCTCAAAATAAACTTTAAAACAAAAAAAGAATATAGGTTTTAGATTGGGGTGGACTTCCCCTGCTACTTGTTTGTGGTATGACTTTGCACAAGTTACCTTTTGTGAACCTTGATTTTCTCATTAATAAAATCTGAGATCCACTCAACTATTCCACAAGGTGATCATGAAAATGAAATAACATATATAAGGCTCTAGAATAGTACCTCACACATTTATTAGCATTATTGTAGGAGACTTTTTCTCCACAAAAATCTGTAGTACAAGGTAAAAGATTTATGCCATCTGAAAAGAAACCAGAGTATTAATTAGCATTATTGTTTTTATTTATTGAGAACATTCCATGTGCCAGGATCTGTGCCAGTGGATGTAGAAACAAAGTCAAGTCAGACATGATTTGGACTTCCAAGGAACTTACAAGCTAATGGAGGAAGGAAAAAAAGCCAGTGGTTACAGTTCAGTGTGGAAAGTCCCATGATAAAGGCACAGAAGGCTAGGGAAACTCAGAGGAAGGGCTGAGTCAGAAGTGATGGGTTAGGGGACAAGAAAAGCCTTCCAGAAGAGGTGTTGAGTAGGATTTTGAAAGCTGAATAGGTGTTCCTAAAGCAGCTGGGAAAGGCATTGCTGGCAGGGGAAACAGTGTATAATGCATACTGGTTCATGTGAGTGAATGCTAAGAGATGTGGCTGGAGATATTTTCAGGAACCACATCATGGTGAGACTCATATGCTGAACTGAAGTTTGTACTTAGCACCCAGCAATGTTCCTGGATCACAGTAGAGGCATAAAATCATTTTTTAAACAATTTTATTTTTAAGTAATTTCTACACCCAAATGCGGGGCTCAAACTCACAACCCGAAGATGAAGAGTTGTAGGCTACACTGACAGAGCCAGCCAAGCGCCCTGAGGCATAGAAACATTTGGAATGCATAGATAATGGACTTGGGTGTAGAAGGTCTGGAGAGTCACTAAATAATTTTAAGAGGAAAGAGTAACGAGTTGATTCATGTTATTACAAAATCTGAGATTTTGATTTTTGGTTGTATTGAATCTATAAATCAGTTTAAGAGGAATTTACTATCTTAAAATATTGATGTGATCTGTGATCATGGAATATCTCTCCATGTATTTTTAAAAGTATATCAGTAAAGTTTTATGATTTTCCCTACAAAATCTTGCACTCTTTGTTACATGTATTCCTAGGTACTTCATATTTTTGGATGCTATTAATAGCAAATGCTATCTTTTTTAAAAGAATTTAATTTTCTAATTATCTTTTGCTGGTATTTGGAAGTATAATTATTTTACATATTGGCCTATACCTAGGATTGTTGCTAAAAATTTCCATTCATTTTACTTATTTATTTCTAAAATATTTTTTTCTCTATTTATTTTTAAAAATATTTACTTATTTATTTTGAGAGAGAGAGAGACAAAGAGACTGAGCAGGGGAGGGGCAGAGAGAGAGAGAGGGAAAGAGAGAATCCCAAGCAGGCTCTGTGCCACCAGCACAGAGCCCAACATGGGGCTCAAACTCACGAACTGTGAGATCATGACCTCAGCTGAATTCAAGAGTTGGACACTTAACTGACTGAGCCACCCAGGTGCCCCTTGTTTGTGGGGCTTAAACTCACAACCCCACAATCAAGAGTCACATGCTCCACTGACTGAGCCAGCCAGGCTCCCCTCTCGTTCAATTTAGTAAGTAATTTAAAGATCTAAAGTATTTTCTACCTGTACAATCATATTACCTAAGAAGAATACTTCTGTTTCTTCCTTTTCAGTCCTTATTCCTTTTAATTCTTTTTCTGGCCTTATACTGGCTAGGCTCTCTAGTATTATCTTGAAATTCATCTTATCACTGGTATTATCTGGTATTATTGTCTTGTTATTGATATCAGAGAAAGTATTCAATGATTCACTATTAAGTATGATGTTTGCTGAAGGTTTTGTTTCAAATGGTACTGTTTATTTATTATTTATACTCTTATTCCTAGTTTGCTAAGAGTTTTTATTAGAAACCAGTGGTAAGTATTTTAAATATTTTTTATAGCCACTGAGATGATGAAATAATTTAGAACTTTAATCTGTTAATGTGAGAATTTTGTTGATTTATTTTTCTAATGTTAAACCTATTTTGCATTCCTGGGGCAAATCCAGCTTGTTCATTATATATTATCCTTTCTAGATATTACTAGCTTAGATTTGATAAAATTTTGTTTAAGATTTTTACATCTATGTTTATGAGTAAGACGATTGCCCTGTGATTTTTCTTTCTCATGTTATTTTTGTTGGGTTTTAATCTCAAGGTTTGTCTAGCCAGTGTTAGCCAACCATTTTTCGTTATTTCCTCTATCATGAGAATATTTAGATAATTTTTCCTAATCTCTCTCCCATGAAATTTTAATACTACTGATAGAGTTCTATTTATATACAGTGGAGTTCTATTTATATACTGTAGGTATATCTTGCTTTGTAATAAAAAGAGTAAGATTTTTTTCGCCCCCTCAGAGTCAATTTTCACTCCCTTAGGGATGATATTGCCTCATTGAGAATGCATGATCTAGCCTCACAAAATGGGTTGGACTGTGCTCCTATATTTTGCTTTTAAAAAGCAATTTAAATGACATTATTTAGGAAGACCGATTGATGTAAATTTCATTTATCTCTTGTTATTTATTTAGGAGAACTTTGAACAAAACCACCAGCCTCTGTGGAGAGAACAGGAGAAACATCAGGAACATGTGCAGCAGTCTAAAAAAAATGTGAGAGAGGTAAAAAAACAATCCTTTACTTAATAATAGTAGCTTTTACCAACTATTTTGTTTGAGTATATTAAAACGTATAGATTCGTGCTGTGAAAATTATAAAATTGTGCATAAAAGTATTATAAACACATCACAAAAATTTGAGAAGAAAGAAGTTAATACTGATTTTTATTGAATGTATCAAAATTTAAACAGCGTGTGTTATATCCCTTGAAAAATCACTTTGGGATAATACATACTTCTTCCCAAATATGTTTGGAGCCCTTTTTGTGGGTAGTCCTTTAATATATAGCACATTGTTTTAAGTAGAATCAATTCTCTTCATAGAATTAAATTTTTTGATCTGAGGAAATGTTATTAAGCACTAAATCCAGTGAATAAAGTATTTGCTGGGAATTTAACCACAGGAAGTAACCCAAGATAAATATATATGGATGAAACTGTATATCATAGCAGGTTGTTTTGTTTTGTTTTTTGATTTTTTTTTTTTTGAGAGACAGAGAGAGAGAGAGAGAGAGAGAGAGAGAGAAAGAGAGCGTGTGCACATGCACGTGCACAAGCGGGAAGGAGAGAGAGCATCTTTTTTTTTTCTTTTTTTATTTTATTTTTTTTTTCCAACGTTTATTTATTTTTGGGACAGAGAGAGACAGAGCATGAACGGGGGAGGGGCAGAGAGAGAGGGAGACACAGAATCAGAAACAGGCTCCAGGCTCTGAGCCATCAGCCCAGAGCCCGACGCGGGGCTCGAACTCACGGACCGTGAGATCGTGACCTGGCTGAAATCGGACGCTTAACCGACTGCGCCACCCAGGCGCCCCAGAGAGAGAGAATCTTAAGCAGGTTCTGCACTCAGCGCAACCCTGAGATCATGACCCCAGCTGAAATCAAGAGTCTGTCACTCAACCAACTGAGCCACTCAGGCACCCCTCATAGTGTTGCTTTAAATAGCAAAATTTGGAAACTACCAAATGCTTAAGTGATTATATAAATCATGTTGCACCCACTCTGGAACATTATATAGACTTTAAAAATTATTGTTACAAAATCGGCACTGTTATGTGGGAAAATGTTTCTCATGCAATGTTAAATGAAAAAGCCAGACAGAAACATGTACATAGATTGGGATTATGGCTATGTAAAAAATGTCTATAAATAAAAAAATATTGCAAGGATATATACCGATACACTAGTGGTTTTGTTATGTATATGATATTTTGGTTGTCTTCTTATCTTTTAGAAAAATTTGTATGATGACTATATAAATTAATACATATGTGGGGATCAAAAGCAAGGTATAATTGAGACTGAATTTCTTAGCTCTTAAAATGCTTTGAAAATAATTACAGGGGCGCCTGGGTGGCTCAGTTGGTTAAGCATCCAACTCTTGATTTTGGCTCAGGTCATGATCTCATGGTTTATGAGTTCAAGCCTTGTATCATGCTCTGTGCTGACAGCATAGAGCCTACCTGGGGTTCTGTCTCCCTCTCTCTCTGCCTTTCCCCTGCTTGCTCTCTGTTTCTCTCTCAAGATAAATAAAAATAAACTTAAAAATAAAGAGCAAGGTATAATTGAGACTGAATTTCTTAGCTTTTAAATGCTTTGAAAACAATTGCAAAAAAGGAGCTGGAGCTGTAAACATGATTTGAGTGTGTGCATATTTTGAAATTAAATGAAATACGTTATGTGAATGAATTTTATAAACTGTATTTTATGGACTGTATACATGAGGATGACTTTCTCTCTTTTTTCCAGATGATACTCACTTTTATGATAAAGTTTCTATTTTTTATAATTCAATAATTTAAATTATATATTTAATTTAATATAATTATATGTATAAATTATACAATTTAAATAATAATCTCTTAGATTAGGTTGAACTATATGAAGTTGTACGTTTATAGTGGAAAAAGATTAAATATCACCAACTTTATATGGTTTAACTTAATAAAAGAAATACATATAAATGAAATATTGTTTGCTACTTTCCTTTATTAGCTTTCAAACGCTTGTAGGAAATAGTACAGTGTTAAAAGAGTACATTTAATTTTTGTTTTATGACTAAAAATAGTTTTATTTCAGTCCCATAATGAAGACCTGGAAAAAGATAAAACATCACAAAACTGCCTAGAGAGAAATGCAGAACAAGTAGCAGAGAGGTTAAGGATGGCCCAAGAAGAAATCCGAAGGCTCACTGATGAGCTACAAGGGAAGGAGAAAGAACAGAGTAAATTAGGTAAGTTGTGGTTACAGAGGAACATTTCTGACCATGTTTTAATTATATATTATATATGATACATTATATATTATATTATGTATTATATTGTATATAATATTATATATTATATATATTAAATTGACATTTTCTCAGGATAGAATTTGAGTACATTGAGGGAAAAAAATCTCAGTTTGATAAACAGCTTCTTTTTCTCCAGTGTCCAGAAATGTTTTACTGAAGCATAAGCATAACCTACCTACCAAAATGCTTAAGTCCCAAGTTTACACCATGCTGTGCAACAAATTCCCAGAAAACCCCTTTGTTTCTTCCTTCTAGGTCTACATCTTACTCAGAAGTAACTTTTAGCATTATTTCTGAGTTTTGATTGCAGGCAATATGCATTCTTAAATTGGGTTTGTTTCTCTTGTTCAATCTTATGTTTGTGAGATTCCTTCATGTCATTGCATGTAGCCATAGTTTATTCACTTATGCTGGTTGTGTAATATTCCACTGAATAAATATACTACAGTTTACTTTATGTAGCCATTCTACTGTTGATGGATATTTACATTGCTTCCACCTGTGGCCTGTTATGCATAGTGCTGCTATGAATATTCTTGGACTTACCGACACATTTCTGTGATATACCTAATTATTGGATCAAAGGGTTATGTGTAGATTCTACTTTGGTAGATAGCTGCCATACTGTCTTCCAAATAGTTGTATTAATTTAAGCTCTCCTCACTTGTATGTGAGACTTTGTGAGTACTTGATATTGTCTATCTTACTAACTTTGCCTTTTCTGGTGAGTGGGTAGTGGTACTTAGTTATGGCTTTAATTTGCATTTCGCAAATGGCTAATGAAGTTGAAAACCCTCTCATAATTTGTTGTTATTGTTGTTGTTGCTCATTTGAATATACTATTTTGTGAAGTACCTGCTCAAGTCTCATGTATATTTTTCTGTTGGGTGGTATCTTTTATTAATTTGTAAAATTTCATTTTTTTCTTTTTTTTTAAGTTTACTTATTTTTGAAAGAGAGAGTGCAAGTGGGGGAGGGATAGAGAGAGGGAGAAAAAGAGAGAGAAAGGGAGAGAGAGATTGAGCAGGGGAGGAGCAGAGAGAGGGAGAGAGAGAATGCCAAGCAGGCTCTGTGCTGTCTGTGCAGAGCCCAACGAGGGGCTCTATCTCAGAAACTGTGAGATTGTGACCTGAGCCGAAATCAAGAGTTGGATGCTCCACCGACTGAGCCACCCAGGCGCCCCTAATTTGTAAAAGTTCTTTATATATCCTTGGGACTGTCGGCTGGGTCAGCCAGTTGGCGGAGCATGCAACTCTTGATCTCAGGGTCATGAGTCCAAGCCCCATGCTGAGTGTTGAGATTATTTAATAAAAGATTTTTTGGTTAATTCTTTATGTATTCTGGATATGAGCCTTTTATTGGTTCTAAATGTTACGTTGGAGTTTTTGCTATATCGAAATGCTAATATTTATCAAGTCAGGTTTAACACAGTTATTTTGTATGGCTTCTAGGTTTTCATGCATAAAGCCTTTTCTATATCACTATAAGATTATTGAAATGTTCATCTCTATGGTGTTTTATTGTGCTTTTATGGTTTCATTGTTTATATTTCAATCTTTGCTTTATCAATAATTTATTTTAGTATAAAGTTTAAACTTTTAAAACTATCCTCTTTCTATATTATAATTTACAATGATTATGAAATTAGGCTGATTTTCAAATGCAGCATATAGGTTTCTTTAGGATCATATCTTTAAAGGGTTAAATGTATAAAACAGTAATTATTCCTCCAAACTGATCGTGGGTTTAAAAACAATATCAGGAGGGTTGAGATTTTGTTAAGTATGTGTTTTAAATAATGAACACAAATGAAATTTTTGGAATATGGAATTTTTCTATATCCTAATAGGGTATATACACCATTATATATATTTGTTAAAATTCACCGAACCATACACCGATAAGGGTGCATTTTACTGGATGCAAGTTAGAAACCCAATTTTAAAAAAATTTTGGAAAGAAATTCGGCTATGTGAGTATGATGAGAAGCAGTCTTTGCTGCTTGCAATACAGAAGGAAAAAGGAAAAGCAGGACACCCATTCCTTTTAGTCGCATTTGGACACAACAGAACTCAATCACATGGCACTCTGTTCCATCAGCAGTTGGTTGGTCTGGTAGATCCTAAACTATTAACTGAAAGTTGTCACCACAGTAAGTATACTGGGGGGCTGTTGGGAAGCTGAATTAGCAAGTCCTTTAAAAACATATGTAGTATCATGGGGCACCTGGGTGGCTCAGTCGGCTGAGCATCCGACTTCGTCTCAGGTCATGATCTCATGGTTTGTGAATTCGAGCCCTGCGTCGGGCTCTGTGCTGACAGCTCAGAGCCTGGAGCCTGTTTTGGATTCTGTCTCCTCTCTCTGCCCCTCCCCACTCGTGCTGTGTCTCTCTGTGCCTCAAAAATAAATAAATGTAAAAATAAAAGTTTAAAAACATATGTAGTATCAAAAAAATTAAAATAAAATATCTGTAGTACCAAAGTGTGCCCTAGATATAACTTCTTGAGTCATCGGTTTACAAGTCAGAATGTATTTCTAGGTAAATGTGTTATACAACAGTGTTTACCAAGTATCAGTCTACTTTCAACACCCTTTTTTTTTTGTTGGTTTTTTTTGGTTTTTTTTTTGAGAGAGAGAGGGCGCAAGTGAGCAAGGGACAGAGAGAGGGAGACAGAGAGAAGTGGGGCTCACCTGATTCAGGGCTCCAGTTTTACCTGAAGTGGGGCTTATGCTCACCCAAAGTCAGATGCTTAGAACTGAGCCACCCAGGTGCCCCCAAACTGACTCTTCAAAAAAAAATTTTTTTTTTTAAGTTCATTTAGTTTTGAGAGAGAGAGACAGAGACAGAGTGTGAATTGGGGAGGGTCAGAGAGAGAGGGAGGCACAGAATCTGAAGCAGGCTCCTGGCTCTGAGCTGTCAGCACAGAGCCTGAAAAGGGGCTTGAACTCATGAGCCATGAGATCATGACCTGAAGTCAGAAGATGCTTAACTGACTGAGCCACCCAGGTGCCCCCAAATTGACCCTTAAATGAAGGACTCTATTTTAGCTTAATCTCTACCTCTGTCTATATCACATCCAAAACCTTGGATGGGAATGAAAAATTTTGGACAATAACAAAGATATTCTTCAAGAATAAAAAAAGAGAGTTACCTGGGTGTCTCAGTCGGTTAAGTGTCCGACTTCAGCTCAGGTCATGATCTCATGGTTTGTGAGTTCAAGCCCCGTGTCAGGCTCTGGGCTCTGCTGACAGCTCGGAGCCTGGAGCCCACTTCGGATTCTGTGTCTCCATCTCTCTACCCCTCCCCTTCTCGACTCTTTATCTCTCTTTCAAAAATAAATAAGCATTGGGGCGCCTGGGTGGTACAGTCCGTTAAGCGTCCGACTTCAGCCAGGTCACGATCTCGCGGTCCGTGAGTTCGAGCCCCGCGTCAGGCTCTGGGCTGATGGCTCAGAGCCTGGAGCCTGTTTCCGATTCTGTCTCCCTCTCTCTCTGCCCCTCCCCCGTTCATGCTCTGTCTCTCTCTGTCCCAAAAAATAAATTAAAAAAACGTTGAAAAAAAAATAAATAAGCATTAAAAAAAAGAATAAAAAAAGAATTAATGTCAAATATTTATAGTATTCTTCAATAAATAAATTATATGAAAAAGATGATTTTTTTTCATTTAAGGGAATTATTAACCAGTTATAATGTGTGGACTTTACTCGATACTGATTGAAACAAATTTTTAACATTTGTGAAAAAAATTGGAAATGTGGATATTTACTGGATATGTAAGGAATTGCTAAATTTTCTTTTTTTTTTTTAATTTTTTTTTTCAACGTTTATTTTATTATTTTTGGGACAGAGAGAGACAGAGCATGAACGGGGGAGGGGCAGAGAGAGAGGGAGACACAGAATCGGAAACCGGCTCCAGGCTCTGAGCCATCCGCCCAGAGCCTGACGCGGGGCTCGAACTCACAGACCGCGAGATCGTGACCTGGCTGAAGTCGGACGCTTAACCGACTGCGCCACCCAGGCGCCCCAGGAATTGCTAAATTTTCTTAACCACATGTGTATTGAATGTTTAAAAAGACTTCTTTTAGAAATATATAGTGAAATATTTATGGTTGAACAATATGTCTGAGATTTGCTTTTATAAAGACCCCTGTACCACACCCCCACACAAAAAATAACTCAAAATGGATCACAAAGCTAAATATAAGAGTTAAAACTGTAAAACTCTTAGAAGAAAACATAGTAACTCTTCATGATCTTGGATTAGGCAATGATATTTTAGTAAAGCACCAAAAGCAAAAGTGGTGAGAGAAAAACTAATAAATTGGACTCAGTCAAAATTTGAAACTTTTTACAAATTAAGTTATTTATTTATTTTAAGAGAGAATCCTAAGCATGCTCTACTCTGTCAACACATGGCCCAATGTGGGGCTTGATCCCATGAACTGTGAGATCATGATCTGAGCCAAAATCAAGAGTCAGACACTTAACTGACTGAGCCACCCAGGTATCCCCCAAATTGAAACTTTTATACTTCAAAATGCAACATCTTGGGACACTTGGCTGGTTCAGTCAGTACAGCATGTGACTCTTGATTTTGGGGTTGTGAGTTCAGGTCCCATGTTGGGTATAGAGATTACTTAAGGAATAAAATATATTTTTTAATTTTTTAAAAGTTTCATTTATTTATTTTGAGAAAGAGAGAAAGAGAGCATGAGCATGGGAGGGACAGAAAATGTGAGAGAGAATCCCAAGCAGGCTCTGTGCTCAGCGTGGAGCCCAACCCAGGGCTCCATCTCACAAACCACGAGATCATGACCTTACCCAAAATCAAGAGTCAGACACTTAACCAACTGAGCCACCCAGGAACCCCTTAAGAAATAAAATCTTTAAAAAAACAAAACAGGGGCGCCTGGGTGGCGCAGTCGGTTAAGCGTCCG